GATTAAAGCCATCGGGAGTCGAGTCCAGAGTACCAATCCGAAATTCTGAGCCCCATTCAGGCATCCCAGGGATGCTGGGAAATTATTCCGCCAGCCCTTTCCACCAAAGGTATGAATGCTTCGGTGGGCGATAAAATTTGGTGAGTCGCAAGTAGGAGGTGTTATGTGGAGATCTGCACCGATACCACATAACCACCCGCATTCAGGCACTGTTACAGCTAACAAGTTCATCCTGCAAATGATTGGCCAGAATACGGGCCGTTTGCCTGCCCAGTACCGAATTGGGCGCTGATTGGTCGAAAGCATGGACCCAAAAACCAATCATGGTACAGACCTGATGAATGTCGTTCGCCACTGTTTCATGCGGAAGGCGCCAGAATTTCCGGAATGTTGTCACCGCATGCATTTTATGCACGGCACGCTAGACACTCATTAATACTCTTTCGGTGACTCGGCTGATGGCACCCTGCGACGACGGGTGTTGCATGAGCGTTGAGGTTCCCAAAGCGGAACTTTTTTTCTGTACACGCAATTTCAAGCAAATGTATACAACAAACCTAGAGTTTCCAAGTCCGTACTGTCAACAGGTGCACAAGTCTGCCATTGACCGGCACAGTTCAGTCATCATCAATAAAGACAGCAACGTCAGTTTTGGCACTGGTGCGTCACTACCGTACAACCATTAGGCCCTAGAGTGAACAGAATAGAAAAATAGTTGGTGGCGGAGGGGACCTAGTGCTGGCCTTCGTCAAGCATTCTGAGGTGCCTACACCCTTAACCGTTCAATCGCAATCTGGAAAGAAACTGACAGCACGGACGCCACTGACATCGATTAGTCGCCATTTCTTGCGACATCTCCAGCCAAACACAGGTGGGGTCACGGGGACCCCAGCCTGGAAGGCGTACAACACTAACAACACCCAAACTCCTCGTGATCCATTTCACGCCTTTCTTCCAAGTCATGTGTTGTCCACCTCGCGGTTTGCGCCATCCTGAAGGATTCACGGATTCACGGATTGATACACAGGATCGAGGGTTTTGCCCAAGTTTCCCGGGTCGGTTTTGTTCTTGTCGGTCAGTGGCTGTCGTCCGCCTGAAAGACACAAGTGGAAAAAGGGCGTAGCACTGCTCTTTATGTTCTCAGCGCGGGGCAGTATGCTTGCCAGCTCGAGGATTCGCATGAATAAATGTCTAATAGTGCTTTAAACTGGGTTCTAGAAGGAGCGTGAACAACCGCTGGAGGAAGGTCATTTCACGTAGCTACTACCCGAAATGAGAAATAAAATTTGTCTAATCAATTTGTTTGCTCTGAGCTTGAAAATTTTCTTACTATGTTCCCGCCGTGTGTTTGCTGGGTCAACGGTAAAAAGCCTGTTTACCAAGCTTTGTTCAAACAGGGCGTAAGTAAGAATTAGGTCCC